CTTAATGAGAACGGGTTCACTAGGATGGGCTGGTTATTCCAAAAGGGTAACATACACTAGCACCATATACTACGCCCAAACACAACAAAAGCTTATAGCTTTTCTTTTTTGAGACAGAGCGTCTCGTTCTGATTGGCCCAGGCTCAGCGACGTGGAGTGCCTCACGGGCGTCAGCCTAGGCTCCCAACCTCAAACTCTGGCTCAGCAATCGCTACTGCCGTTAGCCTCCCGAGCAGCTTGGGCACTACAGGCATCGCGGCACCCCCCCACGATCGTCCCGCTACATTTTTTTACATAGTATTAGCTTAGGCCATTATGTTCTTTCTATTTATAGTAGAGATGGGGTCTTGCTCTTGCTCAGGCTGGTTTCAAACTCCTGACCTTGAGCAATCCGCCCACCTTGGCCTCCCAGAGTGCTAGCATTACAGGTGTAAGTGAGCCACTGTGCCCGGCCAACAAGCATATTTTTATTTTGAGAAGGCTATGGTCTTCAAATGTATACCCAATCTCTGAAAATTTGTTTAAAACAAGACAGAATTTTATGTAATTTCCTGTTCAAATAATGTATAGTGACAAGAGGTGGTATCTGAGAGGAAAATGGGGAGCTTGGATTCTTAGAAATAATAATACTGTAACTAACATTTGTGGTGCTTGTATGCACTGGGGTTGTTCTAACAATTTGGAACTTCTGCAGATGCTAGCATTTTCCAGGTATTGAGACCGTAGCAGTATCTAACATACTAGACAAATGTGCACCAAGGCTTGACTTTATAGAGGGTAGAACACATTTTTTTGTTGTTGAGTGGAAGGAGAATAGTCTTACTTTCTGGAATCCTAACTTTGAGTAAAGCTGACATCCTCACTTCAAAAAAGAACACACTTCCTTTTTGGAAATTCCCAAAAGGGCAGGTCTTCTAAAGTTATTTGCTTCTTTGAAATAAATATCTTGCCCTTTACCTTTGTTATTTAGATCAGATCTCAGAATTAAATCACAAGATAAGGATATCAATCTAATTCAAAATTTTTGCTCATTTCAGGCCTTGCTTTGTCTTTTAAAATAAATCTATAGATTACACAGGAAAAAAAAAAAACTGTTCCTCTAGTGTTTGTGTTTAGCAATACAGCTTCCTGTTTTAGAGCAAAAATGTAAACCTTTTAATGAGCAGGGAAGAGAGTCAGAAAGGATTGTATGGCTGAGCAGTCTGTGTCCCTCATACTAGTTGGTGCTTGGAAGTAGATCTGCCTGTTTCTTCCATTTGAGAGAGTGTAAGCAAAATCGTAGCTATTTTAGACTGTTCAGAAGTGACTTAAGTTCTAGAAATAAACATTTTACAAATGGTTATTGGCTTGAAAAAAATAGTCTAACGATTGCATCGGTCAATGGGGTAAATATAGGATTTTGGGGGTTAATGTATAGGTACATGTTTCAGTTTGGAAAGTGAGATTATAAAGTAATGTGACCGACCTTTAAAAATAAATGGAAAAAGAAAATGCACCAGGATTTACAGAGTCACCTAGGTTTTTTTGTCTAGGGAGATGTTCAGCTGTTACAGTGATAATAGCTGTTAATAATTTTTGGAACTCTTAGAATTGACCTATGAGTCTTGGATACATTTTTGCTATGTTTGGTAGTTGGACATCATTATATTTTTGAGGTATTCTGATTCAAATTTTGGAAATAGCTGGTAATGTTTTAGAGCCAAGTCCAGTGAAGAGCCTTGAGAGATCGAGCTGGTGGTCATTACCATCTTGGGTCACTCACCAATAAACTGCTCCCTATAAACTGCCTCTGAAGTTATTTTTAAAAGAGGAGATAAAAAATAGTTTGGCTAAGGCAGTATTATTAAAATACTAAAAATTTCAGGTCTCAGCAAGGATGAAGGACTGTTACAATGAGATACCAGAGACTCAGACATGCAACTGCAGATTGTGCTCCTAACACTCCCAGGAGATATTAACACTGCCATTTGAAGGAGCAAGAGGTCAAAGGATAAGAGGTGGTGGTTAGAGTGAGAAGCTTGTAGCCTTTGACCATGAGGATGGAATTCAGAGGCGTGACTGTAGGAGGGATTGTTGGTAGGACTATTTATTGACATCTGTATTTAAAAGGAGTGGAGGAAGATGTTGATAGTAAGAAGGAAGTAAAAGTTCAAAGGAATGAAAGGAAGAGAGTGAAGTGACTGGATATTGGCTGCAGGAGGGGTACCAGGTGGCACAGCTTGAAAGGAGCTTGAGTTTTGAAAGGTTGGAGAAGTGGTAAAGTATCGATAGGAACTAATAGGGTCAGCTATCCGCACGCTCTTTAGAAGGCTGCAGGGGGAGCAGTATGTTCAGGTACGATCAATGTTCTAGATAAGGCAAGGAGGGAAAAAGAATGTTCAGAGAAGAGGTTGGTGATATACAGACGTTTCATCATCACCTTGATCAACCTGAATTACAGAAAGCAAGAGTTAAAGAGTATGGAAAGGAAAGGAGGAGTAAAGAATGGGGCTCACCAGGAGTTTGAGGTTGCTACCACGAGCTAGGCTGATGCCACAGCACTCTAGCCCGGGCAATAGAGTGAGACTCTGACTCAAAAAAAAAGAATTGGGCTCAATTAGCAGGTGCACCCAGCAGTGCAGGGATGAATGATAAAGCTACCTGTTGTATACAGTAATTACAAATGATAAAGTATAATTATAAGTGATTGTATTTTTTTTTTGAGACAGAGTCTCACTCTGTTGCCCGGGCTATAGTGCCGTGGCATCAGCCTAGCTCACAGCAACCTCAAACTCCTGGGCTCAAGCTATCCTTTTGCCTCAGCCTCCCGAGTAGCTGGGACTACAGGCATGCGCCACCATGCCCGGCTAGTTTTTCCTACATATTTTTAGTTGGCCAATTAATTTCTTTCTATTTTTAGTAGAGATGGGGTCTCGCTCTTGCTCAGGCTGGTTTCAAACTCCTGTCCTTGAGTGATCCTCCTGCTTTGGCCTCCCAGAGTGCTAGGATTATAGGCATGAGCCACCATGCTCGGCGGGTTTGATTTCTGTTATGTCTGTTTTTGAATAGAAAAGTTTACATGGCTGCATTTGTTTCCTAGGGCAGCCTTAAAAATGAATACAAATTTGTCAGCTTAAAAGAACAAAAATTTGTTCTCTCATAGTTCTGGAGGCTAGAAGTCCAAAATCAAGGTGTTGGTAGGTTGATTCCTTCTGGAGACTCTGAGGAAGAATCCGTCTCTTGCCTTTCTCCTGGTTTTTGGTGGCTGCCAGCAATCCTTGGTTTATAGACACACTGTTCCAGTCTCTGCCTCCCATTTTCACATGACCTTCTCTTCTGTGCGTTCTCTGCTTCTTATAAGAACACTTAGCATTGGATTTAGGGCCTGCCAACGTAACCCAGGATGATCTCATCTCAAGATTCTTAATTACAATTGCAAAGATGCTTTTTCCAAATAAGGTGACATTCACAGGTCCTGTGTGGACATGTCTTTGGGGGAGGCACCCTTCAACCCAACAGTGGCATGTTGGCTCCTTTGTCATTCCTGGCCAGATTCTTTGCAAATGCTTGGCGTTGCTGAGCTGGTAAGGGAGACAGGACAAGAGAGTAAGGTCTGTGCTTCATCATCCAAGCTCTGTTAGCCGAGAAAAATGCAGAACATAATCATTTGACAGTCATTAAATACCAGCATTTTTCTCTTTGATTGAATTGTTATGTTTTTAGGTATTAATGTCTGAAAATATTTTCCTGTATTTCCAAGTCCCAGCGTCTTCCTCAATTCACTTTCTATGGAGGTGAAGAGAATATGACAAAATACTATTTTGCCTTAGCTCCAAATACCCGATCTTGAGTAAATCAGTAGTGTACTGTGTTTTTCTAGACACAACAAAGATAATTTTACTTCATCACTTCCCAGATAGGGCTTTTTTTATTAAAGAGTATTAATCCTCCTCTAGTTTAACATATATAGTTTTATATTATAAAATGCATAATTCTGTGGATTTAAAAAATGCACAGTTAATACTGGGCATCGTGGTACACACCTATAGTTCCAGCTACTCAGGAGGCTGAGGTGGGAGGATCGCTTGAGCCTCGGAGTTGGAGAACAGCCTGGGCAGTATAGCAAGACCCTGTCTCTAAAACGAAAACAAAAAACCACAAAAATCCCATAGTTAATACAGGTTTGTGGCAGTAATACTTAATATAGAAAGTAAAAACTGAAAGCTCCCTTCTTCCCCCATTAAGTTTGGTGTAAATTTTTCTGAACCCTCTTTTATGGATTGTGTATGTAGGCACTGTACTGAGCCAATGATATTAGACAGCACAAAGCAGAGTGGATATATTGTCTTACCTACTTGTCTTGAAGATAGTAAATAGCCTTTAATTCCATTGCAGCAGCATTTTCATGTTTTTAATATTCAGGATTTTCTAGGTTCCTTGGTTCAGCGTGGAGATAGTATTTATTTATTTATTTATTTATCTATCTATTTATTTATTTATTTCTGAGACAGAAATAAATTTATTTATTTATTTCTGAGTCTCACTTTGTTGCCCAGGCTAGAGTGAGTGCCGTGGCATCAGCATAGCTCACAGCAACCTCAAACTCCTGGGCTCAAGCGATCCTTCTGCCTCAGCCTTCCGAGTAGCTGGGACTACAGGCATGCGCCACCATGCCCGGCGAATTTTTTCTACATATATATATTAGTTGGCCAATTAATTTCTTTCTATTTTTATAGTAGAGACGGGGTCTCGCTCTTGGTCAGGCTGGTTTCAAACTCCTTACCTTGAGCAATCCGCCCATCTCAGCCTCCCAGAGTGCTAGGATTACAGGTGTGAGCCACCGTGCCCTGCCGGAGAAACTATTGTACTCGCCCTGTTTTAGAATTTTCATTTTCATGTTCACCATTATTTAGGCATATCCCTTAGCATATAGTTTATATCATATATTAGGAAAAGTACTATTGTTCCTACTTTCTTTCTCCTAAAGATTCTAAAATCTTTTTACATATTTCTCTTTGCAGATTTAATCCGGAGACTGAGTTCACTATAGAAACACCCACAATTGTATCAATGGTTGGGGAAAGATAGTGGCAGCAGGCAAAGGAAAAACCCGCTCTCACATACTAAGAAAATGAGTATGCTAAAGCCAAGTGGGCTTAAGGCCCCCACCAAGATCCTTAAGCCTGGAAGCACAGCTTTGAAGACACCTACAACGGGTAATGCTTTGTTTTTCCTTAACAGCAAATAATCCTATATGACTTCAATTTGAAATTTTTACTTTAAAGATGACTTTATAAAAATTAATATTGAAACTATATGAAGAAAATTTTACCTAAGACAGAATTTTATATGTGAAATCTTACTGAAGGGTTACTTTTTTGTAGTTATCTTTTTTATTTAGTTGATTTAATATAAAGTGCTTAAATAGTTGTCAAATCACTTCAGTATTTGGTCCTTAAAATGTTAAAGTATATTTCTTTAGATTTCTTCCCTATATGTCTTCCTGAATTCCTTAGAACCTTTCTTCTTGGGTTTGGGACATGTACAGAAAACAAAAACTGACCTGGCTTAAAAGATTGTATTGCACTAATTGACCTGAAGTTGGCCACTGGCATCAAGGGAGTGGGCAGGATAATGGCTTATACCGAGGTCAACAAGGGAAACTATCCCCAAACATTTTATAGGTGAACCAGTGCCCTTCATTATCTTCAGCGATCTGTTCCTCATCTATTCTCCACCTCTTCCTCTGCCATTTCAATTTCTGTCCCATAATGATCACTCCGGGTTTTTAATAAGAGAGACAGGAAGGAGGGCATCGGATGCTTGCTCTTATGGTCTTTTTAAATGTGATTTATATACTATTAGATATGTTCTCAGTCATTCCAGATGGTCAGGTGCCCACCATAATCTATTAAGTTCAAGATTGTTTCTTCATGTTCTTCCATAAAGACACTCATGGGTTCTCCACGAAAGCGGGGATCTTTGTGTTTGTTTTTTTCCATTACTGTTTTGCACCCACACACCTAGAACATTGCCCAACTCGTAACAACAGGAGCTCAGTAAGTGTTTGTTGACTGAATGGAGATCCCAAGTTATTTACATTTTATGTATCACGATGAAACAGGGTTCTTATCAAAGAAAGCATAAAACATCTTAGATGAAGAGAAAGCTTTATGGATAAAACAAAGGACTACCAAGAAATAGATTTGTCTCAGAAATGTATATTCTTGGGGAAATCAGTCATAATTGGCACTCCTGTTCTCCTTCCCCTCAAAGGCCTGAGCCCCAGGAGTTTGAGGTTGCTGTGAGCTAGGCTGACACCGAGGCACTCACTCTAGCTGTGAGCTAGGCTGACCCGCGGCACTCACTCTAGCCTAGGCAACAAAGTGAGACTCTGTCTCAAAAAAAAAAAAAAACCCCACAAAGAATTGTTGGAGTCCTCTGATCTGACATGCTT